CATGGTCTGCTGCCGAGGTGGTCTTGACTACCATGTCGTCGACGTAGACTTCCATGTTCCTCCCGATCTGTTGTTGGAAAACCTTATCCATCAGCCGCTGGTAGGTTGCGCCCGCGTTTTTGAGGCCGAAGGGCATCACCCGGTAGCAGTAGTTGGCGTGGTCGGTGATGAAGGATGTATGCACTTCGTCAGGTGGGTGCATCATTATCTGGTTGTACCCGGAGTAGGCATCGAGGAAGCTGAGGAGGGCGTGTCCGGAGGCTCCATCGACCAACCTGTCAATGCTCGGCAAGGGGTATGAGTCCTTGGGGCATGCTTTGTTCAGATCAGTGTAGTCGACGCACATCCGCCACTTTCCCGAGTTCTTCTTTACCAGGACCACGTTCGCCAGCCGTGTGGTGTACCTGACCTCGCGGATGAAGCCAGCATTCAGCAGTTTTTGTGTTTCGGCGACGATGGCCTCCCGCCTTTCGCCGCCTACCTTCCTCTTCCGCTGGGCGACTGGTTTTGCCTCCTTGTGTATTGCTAGCTTGTGGCAGATGAAATCAGCGTCTATGCCTGGCATATCAGTGCTGGACCAGGCGAAGAGGTCGGCATTTTTGAGGATTTCCGCTTCGAGTTGCTGTCGTAACTTTGGGGTCAACTGTCTGCTGATCTTCGTGGATTGCCCGGGGAGTTTCCCGATCTGAAGGTCATCGAGCTCGTCAATGGGGCTAGGCCGTTTGTCGTGAGAGTCGGATCTTGGATCGAGATCGGTGATTTCTTCGTGGTTGGCGTGAGCCACGGAGGTGGGGTCGCTCTTGCACTGCTCACCGAGTGAGGCGATTTCCAGGCTTTCGGTGTAGCATTGTCGTGCCGTCTTCTGGTTCGCTTTGATAGAGATAATTTTCCCATCATGCCCTGGGAATTTCATAGTGAGGTGTGGGGTGGATACCACCGCTCCGAGCTGGTTCAAGGTTGGCCTCCCGATGATGATGTTATAGGAGGTGTCGGCTTCCACGAAAAGGTATCGAACCATGATCTGTCTTGTATCTGGAGGTGCTCCGAAAGTTGTCAGTAGGTCCACGTACCCCCGCGTGTGAACGCTTCTTCCTGCAAAACTGACTAGGGGCTCTGTGTGAGGTTGTATGAGAGAGTGGGGGATGTCTAACCTGAGGAACGTTGGCCAATACAGGATGTCGGCCGAGCTCCCTTGGTCGATCAGCGTTTTGTGAACCTCCCAATTGGCTAACGCTACGGCTATAACCATGGGATCGTCCTGGTTGGGGTTGACCCCGGCATAGTCGTCATTTGTGAAAGTAATCGTTGGTGCACTCTGGTGCGAAGTTGAGGTGGTGAAGTGTATGTGGTTGACGTTGCACAGGTGTCTTTTCCGGGCCGAGCTGCTGGCGCCCCCGCCTGCAAAACCACCCACGATTGTACTGATTACTCCCTGTAGAGGAGTTGGTCTTTTTTCCTGGCTTACCTCGGCTCGCATTGCTCCGCCGGGGTTGAGTTGGGAGGCAGAGGGCTGTTCCGTGCGAGCTCCTGAATCATGACCTCTGTCTCGTCCTTGTCTTTTTCCTCGACCTTGGTCGGGGAGAGTGAAGTGTTCCTCTTCCTCATTGCGGTTGTTTGTATGAGGGGGGTGATCAGAGTGTCACCGCGGGAGTTGAGCGCGAATCCTTTTGTTTTCCGTGCGTAGAGTCGCTAGGTCAGCCTCATTGGCAGTCCGCATCGCGGCTAGGTTAGTTTCGTGCTTGGCACTCATACTTTGTAGATCTGTGGCGTGTTGCTGCCGCATCTGCTCGACCTACTCGATTAGTTGTCTTAATGCTGCTTCGTTTTCCATGTTAGTGGTGTGATCTAGGTCGTCTGTTACGCGTTTGCTATGGCTTCTGGTGAAAACCACAAGCGTGGCCGATAAGAGCTGTCTTGATCGGCCCCACGGTGGGCGCCAAATGTTCTTACTGAAAATCTGCCGTAGAGCTGATCCGCCAGGTAAGATCGGTGAGCCTCCTTCACTGGTACGTTTGTGTTCCAAGATGGGGGTGGTACCTGCAAAAGAGACTCTGATGCTAAAGTTAGGATTTGTATGAGTATGAATCTCGTATATGTAATGCACGTACCTTAGTATGAATTAGGGTTGGTTCGGGCCCTGGGCGTGAGATAAGATATGATAAGATTAGATAATGGGTCTCGTTTGGAGCGAGATCCCTTGAGATCAGGTATGATTTACCTAAATGCCGAGCTGACGTCGCGTAGCGTGTGCCCGAGGTCATCTTGCGCTGTGATGCCGAGCTCGGAGCCCGGCTTCGCAATACGGACAGTACATGTATCAATAATACAATTCTTTTACTAACTAAATAATATTTTTGACTAACATAATATTATATTTATATTAACTAATGAAATCAAGATATTTCATATTTTTATATTTTATTTAAAAAATAAAAAATAAAATAAAAGTTAAGATTATTAAGTAATAGAAGTAATTAAATAATAAAAATAATAAAATAAATAGTTATCAAAAAAGAATGATATTTACTAAAAAAATTATTTATTTTTTAATAATAGGAGAATATAATGATCTATCAAATGTCAAGATCAAAAATTGTTATTAAAAGGGTATCTCTTTTTATATATTAATATAGATTATCTTAGAATATACAATAAAAAATATACATTTTTATTTATTGGAATTATAATGAGACACTAAAAGGTTCAAATATAAGATTATGTGGATATGATTCCAAATTCCTACTATTAAATTGATCTTAATGGTTCACTAAAAAAATATTTTAGTTATTATTATACACTTCTTTAATTTAAGATTTAATAATATAATAGTAAATTTAATATATTATACAAATAAGTGGAATTGACTTAATCTTATCTTCTATGTTATTAAATATTAATTAAATCCGGGTTCAAAAACTTGTCCCAAGTCTAAATTTAATGATAATTCTTAATTAATTATTAATACAAAATAATTTTACACTAAAAATGTATGAAAATTAAATTATCAACAAAAATATTTTTTTTAAAATTAATTTGATTATGAACTAATATCTTGAATGATTAATAATACTAAGTATTGATATTGATGATGATTTTAAGTATTTATTATTACAATAAGATTAAATTATATTTTTAAATTTTTGTAATATTTAATTTGTTATTATATTATAGAATTTTAGTTTCTCTATTTTATAAATTCAAAATTTTAGTGTAATCATTGATTTTTTTATATTTTTTTTGAAAAAGTGGATGTGCTATAGTATCACTATGCGAAGGAGGGTCCTAACTAGGTTAGCACCTGCAGTGCATCAATCATGTGCACCACATCAAGAAAGGCTAAAATTAAAAGAAAAGATAAAGGTACAAAGTGGGGGGACCAAACCAAAACCCACAAAAAAAAATTAGTAATGCTAACAATGCCAACCAAGTGGCATAGTCTAAAACCATATCAGTCAAACTATATACAATCAACTTGAACCCCTTAAATCACCAAGAAGAGTTTAAGAGAATTTGGAGGATTTGGAAACCTTTGATCTAGATCTTAGCTTATAGGCGGTATATTTTCTTTGTGGTTCGACAAGTTCATTAACCTTCCATCTCTTAGGAGCATTGTGGTTGTAGGAAGGCTTATATGGATTAAACGGGGATGTTTCATCACTTGAGTCAGCCTCTGAATCATTGTCCACAACACAACTTTGGTCATTGGACAAGTCCTCAAGTGGTGGCATGCCTTCAAGAGACGGATCATCTACATCACAGGCCACAGTTGCTAAATGAACAACTGCATCAGCACCACCAATAACATTTGCAGTCCCTGCGTCTGTCCCTGGAAAATCATTCAAACTTGGCTAAGCTAATACGGTTTTGGGATCAGAATCATATGCTACATCCACCTTACAGTCCTCAGCTGCTATATGAGCTGCTGCACCAACACCACCAATCACAGTACCTAGAGCTGCAACAATATTAGCAGTTGCATCACAGACCGCAACTGTTATATGAGTTGCTGCAACAATATCAGTAGCTGCAACAATATTAGCAGCTGCAATCACCTACAAATTTGCCTTTTCCAACAAGGTGTTATCCATCAATGCACCAGCCATCATTGTAGAAGTATCAGATGCATCCTTTGATCAAACAAAATCTAACACATCCTTTCCGGTTGTTATATGATTTTTTTTTTATATTTGATTGTTAAAATTGTAGTAATTAATGTAACACCCTAGTTTTCATACTTTTTACGGAGGATAATTTAGTAATTTTTATAAGATTTATTAAGGGTAATTTAGTAGCCCAGAACGGGCCGCTCTCAAATTGGAATGAGCCATTCCAAACTACTAAAAAGACCTATTTTTGGTTTCCCAGAATAGGCTGTTCCCAAACTAGAACGGACCGTTCCAAACCACCAAAATGGCCTATAACCCTAGTTGGGAACGGCCCGTTTCAAATATGGATGTTGTGTGTTAAAATGCAAACTCAGAACGGGCCGTTCTAGTTTTTAGAACGAGCCATTCCAGATGTGAATTTTTCACATGATGAAAGGATCCAGAACGGGCCATTCCGGATCTAAAACAGGACGTTCTGGCCACTCTTGAAATCTATAAATAGAGCACTTTGACACTATTTCTAGACACACTCTCTAGAGACCAAGGAGAACTAAGAGAAGGAGATCATCCAGATTCTTCTCTAGTTTCATCTTCTGCTTATCCAGGTAAGGGGGGAGTGAGAAACCTCGCTTGGGGTGTGGGGATAATTGTTGGGTGGTGTGGGAATAATTGTTGGGTAGTAGGATTGGCCCCCAATCCCTTGCTTGATGCATGCTTCTAGGAACAGGAAAAATATGAATGTTTTCTATTTTGCTATCTGATTGTTTTGTTGGGTTTCTTGTTGGATGTGATGTATAGATATGTGATTGATTTTGAGAATGAATATGTTTTGATATGAATTAGAGTGCTCTATGGGTTTCTACGGGAAACCCTATGAGAAACAGGCAAAATATGAATGTTTTCTTTTTTGCTTTCTGATTGCTCTATTGTACTCTTTGTTGAATGAGATGTATGAATATGTGATTAATTTTGAAAACAGATAAGCTTTGATATGAATTAGAGTGCTCTGTGGGTTCTTTTGGAAAACCCTGTGAGGTAAAATTAGGAATATGATCTATGGGTGGTTTGAGGCATTATATGTAAAGTTGATGATGACTTCATGTTTTGGATAAGTTCTTGGTATGATTTATGTACTATTTTGATGTATATAATTACGAGAAGTTTCTTGTATGAGACTATGTGAATATGATGTGAGAATGTGAAAGGTGAACATATGATCTGTGATATGACATTATGAAATAATATGACATGAGATTTGATGAGATGTGAAATGTGAAATGTTGAGTCAATGAAATCGTGAATGTGTGACATGCATCATTTGCATTTATGAGCTAACCAGGTGTACCTTGGGTCACCACGTGATGTAACAAGCTAATAGTTGTACCTTTGGTCACCAAGTGATGTAACTAGCTAATCAGGTGTACATTTTGGTCACCAAGTGATGTAACCAGCTAATCAGGTGTACCTTTTGGTCAGCAAGTGATGTAACCAGCTAATCAGGTGTATCTTTTGGTCACCAAGTGATGTAATAAGCTAATCAGGTGTACCTTGTGTCACCAAGTGATGTAATAGGTGTACTTTGTGTCACCAAGTGATGTAACAAGCTAACAAGGTGTACCTTGGATCACCAGTGATGAAATGATGAGAAATGTGATTATGAGACACGTGACTGACGCCACATGCATTTATGAGTCGAGTTCATGAGATCATTGCATGATGAATGACTGTGCATGTGTTACTATTGTATGTATAATTTGAATTTGTACCTAAATAATGTGTAGCTATGAATGTGCTTGTATGATTTGTGTGTGTGTGTTGCCTAACTGTTATTTCTACACTTAGAACCGAGTGAGATATTTCTCACTCCCTTGTTGTCCTTGTAGACACCCAATTTCGTCCGGGGGCATACAAACAAGGGAATGGACCCCTGTTACGAAGGGAAGGAGCTCCCGAAGCATGCAAACGACAAGATAGGACTTTAGAAGGCCCATTAAGCTAATTTTAGAAGACTGGAACGGGCTGTTCTGAAAACCAGAACGGGACGTTCCCAATTTGGAACGGGCCGTTCCAAGTTTTTAAAAAGGCCATTAACCCTAATTTGGAACGGGCTGTTCCCAAATTGGAACGGGCCGTTCCAAGAACTCTTCAAAAGAGGGCTAAACCTATAACTGGAATGGGCCGTTGCTAAACTGGAACGGGCCGTTCCAAGTTATAAAACAAGCCTAAAGAACCTTGTCCGGAACGCCCATTCCAGTTTATCAAAGGGTGTGTTGATTTTATCTCTGGAACGGGCCGTTCCAATTTCAGAACGGGCCGTTCCAGTTATAAAATTTACACAGAACGACCATATCCAGAACAGATCATTCCGATTTTGGAACGGGCCGTTTTGGACCCTTTCCGAAGTCTATAAATAGACAGCTTGGACTCATTTCTCAAGACCCCCAAAAATTTCGTCCAGCACTCCTTAGAGCTCGAAATTTTTTTCTCTCTCTCTCCTATTGTATTTCTTGAGTTTTGTGAGGCTTATTGTAGTGTGAAAGGTTGCCCCAAAGCACCTAAATCTCCATATTTGAAGATTAATAGAGCTCGTTCAAGAGATATTTCAGTTAATTTTCTTCTATCTCTTTTATTTCTTATCTTTGGTAAATATTGTTTATAATAAAAGCAATCATGTAGACATTTTAGGGTCATTTGTATAATTTAAATTTTAAGCATGTAAATAGTTATTAATAAAAAGGGGATTTAATATTTATATTATTATTGTTTATAACGCTAACTTCATCATAGGGTACCAATTAAGGGCGCTGTAGGGGTGCTTAATACCTTCCTTACACGTAACCAACCCCGAACCCAATTTTGGTTATCAAGGCCATTATTGGATTTTTAAAAAACCTTTTCTTTTTCCAATGTCTTGAGTAAAACATTGGTGGCGACTCCATGAACTCATTTTTCAAAACCATTAATTAAGGATTAGTCTGGTGTCCGGGCATTCCTTAATTGATGAGACTTTTAAAAGGATGTTTAAACCATTAGTCGCAAGATCGAAAACTTTCGGGTTGCGACAGTCCTTTGTATGTGTTTAAAATTGTGTTGCAGGTGATCATCAACATGATGATGTTGGTGATTAGGCTTAGGCTTCAGTTGGACATGCTCTAATAGGATATGTGACATCGGGGCATAACTAGGCGTAATTAGGACTTCATTTTTGTATTTTGTTTAGGAAGAACTCATGTTTCATTTTTTCTGCATTTGATCATGTTTTAAGTTGATAAATGTGAATTCTCTACTCTTATGTTATTGGAATTGTTGTTTTAATTCTAAAGATTTTTTTTAACCCAATAAGATATTTCTTTTAATTATTATATATTCATGTTGGGGTAGAGGGTGTCACATTTAGTGGTATCAGAGCAGGTCGATCCAATCGGCCTGAGTTATGAGTCTACTATGCTTGTTTGGTAGATGAATGATGGAATGATTTGATTGTGAAATTTATTGATATGCTAGTGTGATGATTGATTATGTTTTTTGTTATTTAATTGTGTGTACCATTTTCTTAGAATTTGGCTGATGGACATGATATAGCTTATATGATGCTATATATGATTGTTTAATTGTTTTAATACTTCTTTCTTATGTAAGAAGTAGTGGTTGGGTGGTATCACTTGTGTTGCAAGCATATGTGCGAGTAGTAGTAGACGAGATATTGTGCTAATTAACTAGAAATTATTGAAACCTTAGATTTGGGTGACACATTGATTTGTCGAGTGTATTAAGAGTTTATGGTTGATGGAGTTTCTAGAATCTATAGTTGTAGTGATTGAATCCAAGAGGTTATGTGTTGAGCATTGGAGCTTTGAGTGTTCTTGATGAAAGGTTGAAGTGTTGGTGATTTCCTTAAGTTTTGATGCTGCATATTAACCTTGTTAGGGGTTATGTTGCATAAGGATTTTATTTCAGTTATAAGTCTTTTGTGCTGAATATGTGAGTTGTTTTGGTGGGAAGCTTGGATATGAGTTTGAGGTGGCAAGAAGTGAGTTTGGAAGGATTGAGGTATTTTCGTGGCCTTAGATGTTGATACATGATTTCTATCTGGTGTAGAGGATGTTTTCGCTGTAGTTTTGTTGTGCTAGTATGACTTGATATTTAATAAATGATGTATCAATCAATATTTAATAAGTTAAGTTTTAATTTGATTTCTATGATATTTAATCCATAATTTTAGTCTACTAATTTTTAAATTTTCACAATTTTTGTCCTGTTGATAAATGTTCATTTGTCAATCATAAAAATTATAACTTTGACCATAACTCAATATTAAGTAAATGTTATGATAATTATTGTTTAAAAACACTTAAGTTAAATTTCACTTTTATATATTATATTTTTATCTCATATAGGTGATAAAAGGAGATGAAAATAAGATAAATAATTAAAACAAACTATAATTCAATTTAAATATTATTAAATAATTATAAATAATGTCCTTTACTTAATATAAGTTCCCGGTTAATGTTGTAATTTTAACCATTAAAGTCAAATGGTGGGCATTTAGTGATAAGACCAAATTTACGAAATTTTATAAATGAGAGACTAAAGTTGTGGATTTAAAAATTGAAGACCCAAATTGTGGATTTAAAAATTGAAGGACAAAACTTGTGAATTAAGTATTATAGATGGATCAAAAGTACAATTTAGCCTATTTAATATTTAGGTTTTTTTTTTTTGTAAAAGTAGATGTGCAATAACATGATGACATCCTTACTTGCATGGACATGAGATGATGAATAAGGAAGAGGATGCCTTACTCTTGTCGCAACCCGAAAATTTCCGATCTCGCGACTAATGGTTTAAACATCCTTTTAAAAATCTCATCAATTAAGGAATGACCAGACGTCAGACTAATCCTTAATTAATGACT